TCTCATTCCCTTCATTTATCCATTAGCTGGCTCCTTTCTGTCTGGTGCCTCCTAAATGGGTCCCCTCTGTCTTTTGCATGCTCTTGTTCCTGTGGCTCCTGCTGTCTAGAGAATAGTGACCGTTTCTCTGATCATTATTGCTTTTCTTCTGTCTGTCTTTTTCTAAACATATTTTTTCTCCTTTTCCTTTCTTTAATTTTCTTCAGGATTCACGTCTTCTTTAACTACTTTTTTCCTTTTCTCAATATTTTATCCTCTCTGAAGATTCAGCTTATATTAAAAAAAAAAAGTCATTTCTGATTAAATGAACACTGGCTCTTCATGGACAAAACAAGAATCCTGGTCAGTTTTCCTTTCCACTTCTACCTTGAATAGCAAGATCTCTCTCTCTCTCTCTCTTTTTCCTTACTATTGAGTTTATTTCTCCACTTCCTTTATACATACCAAATAATGTTGGTTTTCTCTGATCAGATCCTTCAAGGAGAAGTCCTAGCAATTTGACCTTCACTTGTAAAACTCAAAGAATCCACTTTATTCTCTATTTAAAAGCATTGCTTATGTACAATAGTGCAATAGGGTTTGAATAGCTTGTACCCAGCAGGAAGAAGTGTTATTAGGTACCGTGTCTGGCACACACTAATATTCTACAGACATCAACTCCTAGCGATTTTAATGGTGATGGTGATGTGTGGGTGAGTGTTTTGAAGGTAAAGGGACAGAAGTGGAGGGAGAACAGAGAGACACCGGTGATGCGGTAGGGTAGTAGGAGAGAGTGAGCCAGGACAGAATAGCTGTTGGGACAGATGGACTCGAATACATGGTAGCTCGCGTTCATTCTCCTGCTTCTGGGTTTTAAGATAAACCAGTAGTACTACATAAAGTGTTCCGAAGCTACACTGACAGTTGTCTCCAAATTATTCAGACAGTTCTGGGCCATTAGCCTGAAACATATTCCCAAATGCCATTAATCCTGAACACTAAAATCCTGAAATAAAACTCATTAAAAGTCTAAAATCCTGAAAGATCAAACTCCCCAAAAATACAATTCTAGAAAAAAATGTAATCACTTATAAAACATTTATTTACATGTAGAGGGGATTTATGTGGAAAATAATATTAAAATGTGACCGAACATTCCATAGGCCACTTTGCGTAATGAAATAATAGCACACGTAGTTTAGTGATAAACTCAGGTACACTAATAGTTGCATGAGTGTAGTTTATGAGCAGACGAACTATATTCATAAAGAAATAGGTCAGAAAACAAAAGGTATAAACACATCACTATGGCTGGCCATTGTGTGCATTCCGCTTTATAACTGGTTATCTGAAATCTGTGATGGACAAGATTGATCAGAAACCACAGTGGGTCACCACTGCATATGCGGTCACCCAAAAAGCCAAGATTCACAACTGCAGGTGTATAAAAAAAAAATCTCTTCATTTATTCAGGAGGCTTAAACATTTTTATGTACACACACGATGCTTATGCGTGAAGTCAGCTTTGTGATAATGCACCTTTGTGAAGTGAAATTTGCAAAAATTGCATGAAACAGATTAGAACTCTCTCAAAGTATTTCCATAATTTGTATCTCCAGGATTGGCAAATGATGTAAAGGTAGTGAATATGTAGCATAGTGAATTGTAGAAATAAAAACCAAAAACCATAATTCTGGCGATTTTAATAGTGGGAAAAAACACTAAAAAAAGCAAAAGAAAAATTTATAAGTATTGCCTGGCTTCCATAATTATTAACTGCATTTTAGATTTTGTATCACAATGAGTAGTTGCTTTTTATTTTTTAATGCTTGGCTGTCCTGGAAGAATACATTCACATTCATTTTCTATTTGGTGTTCTTTTTGAAATTCATCAGTGATATGCTATACATAAACATTAGCATTTACTTACTATTAAATTTCCCCATTGGGTCATGCTTCCATGTTGTTTAGGGCCATAAAATCCATTCTGCCTGTACTCATATACAGATTACAAATTTAGTAGAAACACAGAATTCAGCTTTCTTCCCCTATTATAGCCTCCTCTTCCCCCACCATCCTCTTCAGCCCCCACCTCCCAAGATGAATTGTGGTTTGGGAGAATTTAACTTTCAGAATTTTAGTTGAGATTTTAATCTTTGGGGATTGTGATTTTCAGGATTTTAGATGTTAGAGATTTTATTTTTAATTAATTATTAATAATTTTTTTTGTTTATTCATTTATTTTAATTTGATTAGAGAGAGACAGAGAAAGAGAGAGAGAGAAAGTGAGAAAGCAAGCCACCAGGTCTGGGACTCGAACCATGGTTAGACATGTGGGAGTGTCCAGCGCCTTAACCATGACACCACCTGCTGGTCCCCAGTTATTAGAGATTTTAGACTTTAGTGACTTTGATCTTTCACGATTTCAGCATTCAAGATTATGGCATTTCTGATCCTATTTTTTAGAGTTATGATCAATACCTATCTTTTTTTTTTTTTTGAGAGGTTTTCGCTATAGGGCGTGTGCGCTCGCCAGACAGACAGAGAGAGACATAGAGACAAAAAGCAAGAAATCACCCCCCAGAGGGGATGGTCACACCGCAATCCCTTCTCCTCTGTTCTCCTCTTGGGATCTTGGGCATGCACGCACACGCACCCAGCATGAGTTTTAAGCCACCGGGTCCGGGACGCGAACCGTGGTCGACTACGTGGGAGTCCAGCGACATAGCCATTATGCTAACTGCTGGTTCCCTCAATACCTATCTTGATGGCTTATTCTTTTCTACTTCATTTCTGGTGGATATGGAAGGACAGATGCTCCTCCATTCTGTTACCTTCAGTTCCTCCAACTCAGAGTAAATGGGGTGGGTGTGGGGAGGTAGACAAGAGGTGATTAGATAAAACTGGGATTTAGTCTAAAGTTCTGAGTACATGCTATATTTAACTCTCACAATTCTCTGAGACAGTCTTATGTGTACACTCTGGAAAGTCTGAGGACAAAATCAAATAGATGTGCAAATTTCCCTAATGTTTTAACCACTTTATTGAAAAGCAAGCACATAAAACAGCAAGACAAACATGGCTTCTCTTGCTGTTGTTCATTTGTTCACATTATAGAAGGTGATTTGAAGGAAGATTCTCATCTATCAATCAATGTATGGCCAGTAAGATTTACATTTATTAATTGCAGTGCTATTTTTATCATTCTAACTTTGTTTTTACACAGCATTGTAGTACTGTAAATTACTTGTGGGGGTAATAGTTTGCACATTTGTGCATTACAGAGGGAAAAGTGGTGGTAAGTGATAATGTAGACTGAAGATCTTTGTGGTTGTAGGTTTATCATCTATTTGACTCCACCACCCAAATTCATTTTTAAATTGAGCTTAGGTTAATAATGACTGAAAGTTGGGACCAGCAGTTAGCGTAATGTCTATGTTGCTGGACTCCCATGTAGTCGACCGCAGTTCAAGTCCCGGACCCGGTGGCTTAAACTCACGCCAGGCACATGTGCATGTGTGCCCAAGATCTCGAGAGGAGAACGGAGGAGAAGGGATTGCGGCATGGCCATTCCCCGCCCCGGGGGTGATTTCTCGCTTTCTGTCTCTCTCTCTCTCTCTCTGTCTTTCTGTTGAGTGCACATGCCCTATAGCAAAAATCTTCTCCAATAATAATAATAATAATAATGACTGAAACGTTATTAAAAAGAAGAATTTTCTGTTCTAAATAGACAAAGGCATATTTTTTGTTTCTTTCTTGTTTAAAGACAATGGGGTGGGAGTGGGGGGGAGAAGGAATTAAAATTGAGAAAATTAGCATCTTTTCTAACTTCTGTATACATATAAATTCATAAAGATATGACATTAATTTCCTTTTTTGTAATCCTTGTCTGAGAGACAATAATATATGAAAAAAGTGTTATTCAAGTCCCATACATCCTGCTGTGGTAATGTCACTATAATTGGAGTAAATAAAAAACAAAATAGGTAATGTTACTATTTTAATGACTAAATTCCTGTTTGTTTGTCCATGTCTAGCATCCTGCTTTGTTTTCTTCAGTAGAAAATAATACCCTCATGAGTTTATAGTGCGTAGACTATCAAGAATGTAATCTTTGTTTCATTATAACTACCTTTGGTTTGTAAGTTTCAAGAAAATCTACATCAAGAGCCTTAAAATCCTTGTAGTAGTATTGTTGTTGTTATTATTATTAGATATTTAAACATCCCATGCTTCTGATATTTGATAATTGTTCATAGGCATTATAGAGATAGAAAAACATTAGAACTGCAGCTTTGACATCACTGTTTTCTGGGGCCTGGGAGCCATCATCTATTGCTGGCACGACTCAGGAATGTGCACCATGGATTAGGAGCTAGAGGAGAGGGTACCAGACAGAGAGCCAGGCTTACTCTTAGTGTTCTGCTCAGGTTTTCTCCAGTTACTGTGAACCTCCTTATGAACGGGAAAACTTGGGTAATGAAGTAGGATGCTTGTTATCTAGGTATTATTCCTGTAGATTCTGTTGATTTTGTCTGAACGTTACCCTTAGTTTAAAGCAATGACACCATAAACTTGGGTTTCTTAAAAGCATTTCAGTTTCTCTTGACGCTGTTTCTGTTCTGTTTTTGACTCGGGTGTCTCTCATTTGTTTCAGGTTTAG